CTGGCAACACTGACCGAAAAAGCCAGGGCAAAATTCTTGCAATTTATGGCATTCCAGTGAAACCATTCTACTGCTTAAAATCACTTTACTCCTTATACCGTTCCTATGTCCTGGTAGAAGAACTGTGCACATCTTTTGAAATAAATACTGGGGTTAGAAAAGGCTGTATATTATCAGTATAACGTTTTGGAGTAGCAACTGACTTTGTAATATTACAGAACAATGGCATTGGAGCAGGCACTAAAGTGCTGTCAAAATTCGTGGTGCAACTTATCCTCAAATATTTTTTTTAACGGGAGAATCATGTCACCCATATTTTGCTCCGCAGTTTGTGTCAGTTTGTCTTACACAACAATTGAGGCTAGATGTAAAAACTTTTCTTTATCAATTACAAGATAGATAGATAGAAAGTTAAATAGATAAATAGATAAACAGATAGATAAAGTATGACATTATGCAGTTGCGAGCGCCGTAAAACATTTACAAAAAAAAGAAAAAAAAAAAAAAGAAAGAAAGATAGATAGATAAATAGATAGATAGAAGATAGATAGATAGATAGATAGATAGATAGATAGATAGATAGATAGATAGATAGATAAATAGATAGCAGGGGCGGCTCGTGGGGCAAAAAAGTGGGCGTGCACAATTAAGCAACAGCAGGTTGAAGATTGCCAAGGGTATAGTAAATGGGATGGTAGGATCTCTGGGTTGGTGAAGGAGGACCTTATGCTTTTATTTTCATTCCTTTTACTTGTCGCTTTGATTTCTAGAACTAAATCTGTATGTAGCTAAACATCAAGTTCTTTATCCTGCATTGGAACTGAACACTCGAGTAATAACTTTCACCCCTATACTACAAAACCATTCAAAGACACAACTCGTAGGGCGGTGACTTAAGTATGTCACGTTCACCTCCCTCAGGTTCACAGTCACAGAGTCGTTTAAAATAGTGGCAAGACAATGAACCAGTCACAATCCACTTGAGCACTCCGCTGGATTGCTCCGGGGATCACATAATTTTGGTGTTGAATAGTGTGCAGTCTATCGCGTTTATTTTTAGACTTCCTAGTGTGGGCTGTGTTTCGTGGGTGCACATTTGAGACGTGCCGTCTTGTTAATATTAATGTAACGCCAAACTCGCTACGCGTGTCGTCATCGCTTGGGTTATCCCAAAGAGCGATTTATAGGGCAGATAGCCACAGTTGAATATTCTATTACGTTTAGTTAAAGCGCGCGGCATGGTATAGTAGATGTTTTACGGCGCTTTTGATACAGAAATGACAGTTACAGCGCCAGCGAGGACCTTGTTTTGATATTATATTTGTCTAGTGTTTGTTTCTGACTTCTTTTACTTCATGCTTGTGGGTGGTTTTCGTAATAAAACATGGAAACAAATTTGGGCGGCACTGCACGACTGTGCTCTATGGACGAACAGCGCCTGATAGATAGATAGATAGATAGATAGATAGATAGATAGATAGATAGATAGATTGACGCGGAATACACTAGTCAGAGTGATGACGACCAATATATTCCATGTATATTCATCAACTTACAGAAGACGTTTACATCCAGCTGTCTTTAACCCTCGGAAGAAAATTTCTAAACAAAAGTTAACTTTACTTTTGTTTAATAATTTGTATTTCAGCACGCTACAAGGAATTTCCACAACTGTCCACCTAAAAGTTTTTTGTTTTTTTCTAGAAAGTTGCCTTTCCCTGACAGTATGTTGTTATGCTCACGTAGATTTCCTGTTTTTTCGAGAACAAAACATTTTTATTTGCAGATTTTAAAAAAATCCAATTTATTATACATGTGTCATTAAACAGCTTACACACCTGGTCCTTACCTGGATATGCGTAAGCAAAACATAGTTTTGGATAGGGAAGGGGTGGAAGTGGGGGCTGGGGAGTAATACATTCAGAGGGACAAGACAGTTGGGAAAGACCGTCTGCACACGCCAAGGAATAGAAACAGAGGAGGAAGGTAAGGCTAAATGACAAACTCAATTTCCCCTCCCTTCCGTTCTCCCCTCCCGTCCTCTCCGTTATGATTTGTGGTTTTCCCGGACCAGGATGCAGTGACGTCATCTACTATAACATATCTCTCCGGCGCATTTTTACCAGTCTGAGTTTGAGCCTCATTCTACTAAAATATCTGGGTTTTTTGTAGTTGCTATCCTTACCCACTGAACTCCATAACATCCTGTTAGTCTACGGGAGACTATCCGAACCCGCGAAGTGGAAGACGGAATCAGGGGTGTGGCTGAAAGACAGCATTAAGAAGGAGCCAAGGAGAAGCAATAGAAAGGCTGCAGAAAGAGTCAGGAGCCCATAGGAGGGGGCAAAGGAAGTGAGGGGTAGGGGGAGAAAGTGGAGACGAAAGTAGACGACAGCATATTACTAGAGAGCAGGAAAGGAGGTGAAAGGAGACAATTTTAGAGAAGACAATTTTTCCGTCGCTACCCGAATTCGAACCCAGGACCTTTGAATGAGAGACGAACACCTTAACCTCTAGGCCGCAAGAGGCCCCCCCCCCCCCGCCCCCATCTTATGTTATGTCGTAGAGATGAGAAGACTCACGGTTCTAGAGGACTCACATGGCTGTCCTTACTTGATCATATTATTCAATATAGATCTAGCGTCTCCAGCCTTTTTGATACGTGCCTTCATCTTCCCCCTCCACCCCCCAGTGGAATGGGGTGAACACATTAACCGACTGTATTAGGGCTGTGTTTTAGTTGTATACATAAAACATACATGTATTTGTCTATAATTATACAAAGCCCTGTACATCTTAAGTGTTTCACGCATCCATCGACACAATTTAGGCCATTTAGTAAGTGAACAATTTCGAACTTGCCGCTCAGAGCTAGCCCGGGCTGAAAGGAATAGGCCTATAGATGCAGCTTCCCAGAGAAAAGAAAGAGATACTGGATTTTGACCCCCCCCTTACGTAATCGAATGTGCACCTTCTACATTTCATTGCGAAGAGCCCAACTGCTACACCATAGTCGCCGGTTTAAATGTACATGTGTGATGTCATTTTAGAGTCTTGCTCCTGTTTCCTTCCCTTTTCCTTCTTTACTCTTCCCTCCAGATCACATGATCTGTCTTTGAAAATATATTATGATTCATGTCTAGTAGAACGTGAAACTCATAGGTTCTGTTCTTTCTTCCTGTTGTTTCCGTCTGTCTGTCTTTCTTTCCCCCTTTACTAAAACAAGAATGCAAACAAATAAATACACCAACCAACCAACCAACCAACCAACCAACCAACCAACCAACCAACCAACCAACCAACCAACCAACCAATAATATATACAAAAGCAAGAAAGTCTATTAAAAAAACAAACATTAATGGTCAGTTATTTTCTATATTCTATGGTCGGGACAAAGTTTGGACAAAACAGAGACCAAGTAGCGAGACCTTTGATCCGGGGTAATAACTGGAGATCAGCAAAGAATTCAGTCCCTGTCAGACCTCATCAAAACTGATGTCGGATGTCTAGCAAAGGAGGCAAAATGGACGGGCCAAACGGTGCAGTGTGATTTATGGACACAATATATAGGATGTCTTTGATCTCTACGTCTTTCCCGATTGACCCTCTGCTTGTTCTTTGCGGGACATTACATTCCATCTTCTCCCCATTCCTTCATCCTCATTATTCCTTTCTTCACTCTTTTCCTGCACAATACATTCCTTTACCCTTCCCCCTTTCCATCCCCACCGCCTCTGTGTCTTTTTTTTTTTCAAAGAGAATGAGAGAAAGAAAGAGAGAGAGAGAGAGAGAGAGAGAGAGAGAGAGCGTGTAGAGCGTACAAGAGTCTGTAGACAGCTGTTCTTTCCTCAGGTTGTGGCAGTGTTATCTTTTTATTTCTTGAACCTCACGGGGGAAACAATCAGGATAACCCCATGGGTGTTTGGAAGGTGTTATTTGTAGTTCCTATTTCTTCTATTTCCTTCTGTTATTTCTGTCTGTCTTGTACTTTCCAAGGACTAAATGGAATTTATCGCGTCGATATGTGTCTCTTTTGTTAAACTGAAACTGAAGAGACCCCTAATATTGAGTATTATGTATTTTGCACCCCAGTTATCCATTCACGAATAGGATGAAACTATAAAACGGACACGTTGCCGGTAATGTACCGAATCTCGCTGTTCACACAATCACACAACTCACCAGTACTATTTTTTTGGATCTCTCACAGCTAAAAGTATAATGTTAACTTTTATAGGCATAAAGTGTTAGGAAGAAAATTGACATTGCGACGTAACTAAACACAAACACATACATGTAAACACACACTCGTGCACACACACACACACACACACACACACACACACACACACACACACACACACACACACACACACACACACACACACACACACACACACACACACGAATTAACCCCCCCCCCCCCCACACATGAATAAACACATAGTAGACAGGCACACAGAGAGATAGATAGATCTAGATAAGAGTGAGAGAGAGAGAGAGAGAGAGAGAGAGAGAGAGAGAGAGAGAGAGAGAGAGAGAGAGAGAGAGAGAGAGAGAGAGACCCCTTCCACTTTCTGGGGTTGCCTGCTAACAATGCTGACAACGTGTGAGGAAAAATGTCTCTAAATCTAAACAGCAAAATACACTCTTTGTTGCCTCTCAATTTGTGCATTTATATGTTTGCCTGCCATTTTCGTACAACTCTCTCTTTCTCTCTCTCTCTCTATCTCTCTCTCTCTCTCTCTCTCTCTCTCTCTCTCTCTCTCTCTCTCTCTCTCTCTCTCTCTCTCTCTCTCTCTCTCCTTGCCCCCATTTTCTCTTTTCTCCCCCACACTCCCCATTGCATTTTCAAGAAAAAAGGAAATCAAAGAAAAAAAGAAAGAAAGAAAAGTGGGCAGGAAAACAAAGAGAAGGGGACAAGAGAGATGTAATATAATCATAGCGGGGCGGGGCTTTGTGGAGGAAGTTGATGGACGGGCATAGTATTGGAGAGTGACAGACAGAGCAGGGACGAAACGATACATGGTGCTCTGTGGAGCGACATGGTACTTTACATAAAGCTGCATCTTAAGAGACCAAACCTGAGGTGACAATGTCTCCAGGGGTGGTGGTACTTTGCACAGACTTTACCCAACTTTTACGTCAGTGAGACACTCGGTTCTACACCCACTGCTTACATGACTAACTTGCTTCGGCTGTTATATGGTGGTCACTCTCGGATGGGAAGCATATAAAATACTGTGTATGTTAATTAACCACGCGATGTCATTAGCGTTTTGGACTCCTCCCCCCCACTAGACTTTTATAGATGTCGTCAGTGTTTTAAATATCTCCCCCCCCCCTCGGGTTTTCAGTGTCGTCAAAGAAGGAGGTTTACCTGTTTGCTATGACGTAATAGCAACGGCGTTCCTCACCGCAAAACCAACGACAAAGCAGACGGCGGGAAGTTTGTGCCTGTTTTCGGTGAGACTATTGTCGTCATGAGTGACATAGAAGGCCTTCGTCTCCTGTCATCTCTAGACCTATCTGCAGTTTCCATCCAGGTCTCTCACGTCACACGCCAGGGCGGGAGAAAAACGTAAAAACAAAACAAAACAAAATAAATACGCCCTCTTAAAATTTCTAGCCTACGGATCCTAGAGGCTCGAGTATTGAGGGCCGATCCTATTTGTGCGCACATATATAACGGAGGAGCAAAATGGTAGTGTTGTCAAGCCCCATCTCACCTCTCGCACGATTCTTGTCGTTTGATCGATCATCAGAACCTGTCAGCAATCACAACCAGAAAAGATAGAAAAGAGAAAGAAACTAGGCAAGAAAAGCTGACAGAAAAAGAAAAACTACCAAGAGAGGCAACGGAATTTGTAGCTAGCTCGAAAGCCAGTCAAAGAACTAGAGAATCGGTTCAGGAGAGCTCTACTTCTGAGGGCTCGTAAAACCACATTACCGAAAGAACTTGATTGTAGTTGTTGGAAACAAAATTGAAAATTGAACACCAAGGGGCATTTCTGGAAAAAGAAAGGTGTAGACCAGCAGTGTTTGAAGGATTTGATATTGTGAATGTAAGTGAATTGTTGGAAAGTACATAAACCATGACAATGTCTGTTTTCCGGGAGACCAAGCTACACATCGCAGTGAGTATCAATCAACAGTTAGCTGTGGCTTTCTTTCATCCTTAAAAGGGTTACTATGTACAATAATATACTAATTTCTTTTTCAGTTAGGGGCTTTTAATAATGCTGTTACATTGAAATGAGATGAACAATTCTGAAGTCGTGGGCCCCAAATCAAAACCCAGTTACATTCTCCATGTATACAACATTCACGAGCACGTATGCTCTTTCATCCCACTCACTGAAAACACGCACACAATAACAACAATAACAACAACAATAACAACAACACAACAACAACATACAAACACATGGAATATCTGGAGGTGTCAACTCTGACTCAGAGGTTGATGTGTAATGACTTCCCATCCTTCATGGATGATCCATATAATATACAGATATATGTACACATATACTACGTCCTTTGGAGATCGCAACAGCTGCACATTGCTTCAAAAATTTCATGAAACAATCCCATTGACACTGGTAACCTTATATCATAAGCGTTTCGATGACATGGACAGTATGGACAGTATCCTTTCCCTTTTTTTTCTCAACCTTTGGAAAGCCCCCCTCTCATTCTTAATGTCGAGGCATTTCTAAGATGTTTTATACAAGTACTTTTTTAAACAATGCCACTTACTTGTGCAGACATCAAGGGAAAATTACCGAAGTCAGAAAAAGAACACCGTGGACCGGTGTTTTTCTTTCACAGAGTCACATTATGGACTACATTGGTTTTTCTCTGAGCGGCTGTTTGACGTGTTATCAGTGTTTTTGGATCAAAATCGTTTTGATGTACAAAATGGAATAAAACAAACATTTGATTGAAACGGAAAATTGTTACCACAGCTCATTTTCCCATGAGGTCTTCTTGTTTCATAACACCTCTCTTCTAGCTAGCATCACGATGACCATTTCCCTCGTTGTCCCTAGGCTTTTGTAGCGCTGGTCCTGGTCCTGTCCCAGCTTGCGACATGCCAGAAGAACATCGGGAGGCTACAGACCAACAAGCTCAGAAGTACGTTTATAAAGTAGGGTGAAATGACGTAAGATTTTTGTTCAGACGCTGAATTTTCTTCATATGCCTTTCAAGTACTTCGATATCATTTCACATGTTTAATAAAAGTTGCCCCAAATGAGATAGATATCTTTTTTTTTTGGCAAGTGTTTTACGGCGCTCGCAACTGCATAGGGTCTCACATTAAACATTTTAAGTTGGTAGGATATTTTGAATTTTGCCTTGGTGGTGACCGAAGCCTACTTCTGTCGATTTTGGACCAGCTTGCAAACGGGACCTCCGAGATTTTTCACCCTTGTCCGAGAAGGCTTGTTGTAGATCTTTCCTACCCTAAGATCAGGGGTGTAGCTGAAAGACAGCAATAAAAAGGAGCGAAGGAGTAGCAGTAGAAAGGCTGCAGAAAGAGTCAGGAGCCCAGAGGAGGGGGAACAGGAGGTGAGGGGGTGAGGGCAGAAAATGGAGACGAAAGCAGACAACAGAACGTTGTTAGAGAGCAGGAAAGGATGTAAAAGGAGAAAGTTTAAGAAAAGCAAATTTTCCGTCGCTATTCAGATTCGGACCCGGGACTAATTGAATTAGAGGAGAACACCTTAACCTCTAGATCACGAGAGCCTCCGATAGATATCCATCCGCTGTTGAAATATTAAGGATTATAGAGTAAGTTGAGTGTCTTAATTAAGCAGTGGATTTTTGTGTTTGGGGGACAATGATTTGGCAAGTGAATAGAATATAACTTTGAGAGGTTTGTGTTTTTAAATGAGTCTTTTTTTGGTGTTATAACAGACCTTAGATTGAGCACTCCTATTCATATTATTTAAACATATTACTCGAGAATTTCCTTTGCTGTTGAAAGTGTTTAGAGATTTCTATTTTTCTGACATTAAAGGAATTTGCTATTTCAGCTGTTTTTAAACACACTTTTTTCACTTACAAAATATTCAGGTTTCAGCACCGCACATTAAATTTGGGTAAAGAAATACAGACGCATTTGTTTTTATAAGTGAAAAAACAACAACAACCCCGCGTTCTTTAGTTGTATATCTATCTATCTATATATTTTACTATTCTTGTACATAGATTTGTTTTCCCTAGTCATCTGGTTTTAGCTTATCTTTGGTATTTAAACTTAACAATACATAATAGTTCTTTTTAGTCGTTTATGTATGGTGTAAGATGAGTAGAAGAATACGTGTAAGATAGTATATAATGTAGACTCTCTTTTCTCTCCTCACAAGACGTGTGTGACCGCCACTGGGAAGTGATCTACTCACACGACGAAGGCGGAAATGCCACATTCGGTGACAAGCGCCTGCTGCGCAATATGGCCATGACAGGAAGTTACATCAAAGCTCATCTCTACATGCCGGACCACATTCTACAACTGACGGCAGACAACATAAACAAACGTGGAGATGAGGTGATAGATTTTATTTAAGAGTATAATAATGTACAGTTTTTCCACCGTTCTGCAACGTCAGTAGTGACCAACAATTTTTGTGCTCATCTTAAATACACCCAGAGAGTATTTAATTATATTTAAGAGTCTCTGATACACCTCCCCTCCATAAAAATCCCCAATCAAAACAACACGTTTAAAAACAAAGAAAGTAAACAAAAACAAACAAACAAACAAACCAACAAATAAACAAACCAACAAAACCCTCAAACAAAAGCAAAAGAAACAAAATAACAACAACAACAAAACAACAAAAACAAACAACCTCCCCCCCCCCAAAAAAAAAAAGCAAAACGAAACAAAGAAAAACACAGTACATAAATACTTTTTCGCTGATTAGTAATAGGCCTGAGCAGCTTTTAATTTTGATGTCAAGTATCTGAAAATGATGCTTTTTATCGTTTATGCCAGAAGATGATAATACTGAATACATTGCTAAGGCGAAAAGTACTTTTCATATTATTTCATTGTTCGAAATAATAAAAACATACACGTTTTAACAATTCTCATCAATGCACATTGTCAGCCCCGACTTGGCTCTACTTTGAGACGAATTCGAGTTTATAAGATGGGAACATCTGCACAACAACCGTCATTTAATGAAGTGAAATCACAAGATAAGCACACAGGAACAAGATAAGGGAAATAGGACACACCAGAAGCGTCCTCTAACCGTTCATGTATAAGTTTGGTATTGTCCACATATTAATATTTTTTCCCCAAGAATATCCCCACCCCATTTTCTCGCATCAAGTTCTGTTCAAACATTCCTTTAGTTTCCAAGAAATATTTTTATTTGAATAAATTACATGTTCACTCCCCCCCTTCCCTCAATATGCCCCCTCCCTCAATTTCTTAATTCATTAAACAATGTGGACGATTCTGGTATAGAAAAAGTAGAAAGCGTCTTTATGGCCCTGAATTTCAATCCTATCAGCGATTGATGTTACTTTAAAGATCCTGCCACTTGAGAAAAGTTAAGTCACCGTGAAGAGGTGGAAAGACTAAACTTCAACACTTTTTATATTGGTTCGGATCCTTCATTCAGAAACATAAAGTACGTTGGGAACCGGCGAAATTCCTTTATCCCAACGACTTTTCACTGGCGTCTGTAGTGTAATCGTCAAGCTCTTCACTCTTGCGTGCAGAAAAGTTCGGTTCCCAAAAGGGTATTAAAAACGATCAAAATCAAATCGCTATTCAGCTTGTAGTGTTACTTGAAATGAAACAGATGAACATTGAAGGGTTCTAATCTACATTTAAAAATCATATTTCTGCTGAGATGAGGTATCTTACTCAGACTGGATTGCCCTTACAGGCAATTTGGCCTACTTCCAAAATGATATAAATTGTTTGGAAAGGGGGAGGGGGGTGTATCACAAAGGTCCCAACGTTTGGTTTCTAGCTGCTGTAAGACATACAATATATAACTGAGAAATTCATTGACGCATCCATATGTTCTAAAGCTGTATTGAATGGGATGGAAGGAAGGGTGTGTACTTTACGTTTACTCCATAAACATTATAACCCTGCTGTCTGCCCCCAGCTTTGCTTCCAATCGTTACGAGCCCTGGCTCACAACGGAAGTCACGTGGACACAGAGGATCCCTTGCTCTACTTCATGGTGTGCACCACTGGCGCTGTCACTGAGAGGGGCACCAATCATACCAGCGTGTTCCGGGTGGCCATAGAATGGTACGTCAAGGTCAGTACAGCTTTCTTTTTTCTCCACCCGTACAGCTGATATTTCTGGGCAATTTATAATAAATGAAATATCGAATTAAATGTTAGCTCACATCGATAGTTAGTCATTCATTCATTTATTCATTCATTTGTTCATTCATTCAGTTAGTCAGTCAGTCAGTCAGTCATCCAGTCAGTGAGTCAGTCAGTCTGTGTGTGTATGTGTGTGTATATGTGTGTGTGTGTGTGTGTGTGAGTGTGTGTGTATGTGTGTGTGTGTGTGTGTGTGTGTGTGTGTGTGTGTGTGTGCATGTGAGGGAGAGA